TCATGAAAGCGTGAGTGGAGACGTTAAGTAATGGCTTTAAAACTATTTTTTTAAAGCTTTAAGCGACTGCTAAGAAAGACAACCAGTTTAAATCTTGTGAGGCTGTATGCACTACCAAGATATAAAGAGTTTAAAATGCAGCATACTATATGTCTTACTCGTAATATACTTATACAGTCTATCATAGTAATCTATGCTTATGTACCTCAAACGGCTGAATGTGTTGAAGAACAAGCAATCGCGCCTGAGTCCACCACATCTGTTGTGGCTTTTAGTATAAGTTCTCAGCCAGTCTTAATATTTGAAAGCCTTCTTGAATGCTCATTTGAATAACTCTCATGAGTTAACGGCTGAATAAACGGAGCCTTTCCAATCTTTTCGTCAAAAGTTGAATGGCCTGTTGATTTCTACTTCCGAACGGTCCAGCTCATTTAACTCACGTCTTACCACATCACATAGGTAGAATTGCATTTTAGCAGTGTGATTATTTTGCCGTATCATTGTGAATCGCTTTTTTTTTTTATACCTCTTTCCGGCTATATGCAGAAAGAGAAAGAAAGAGAAAGGGAAGAATAGAGATGTATTTATTATTAAGTTAAGGTTTGCTAATGAACTGTCTCATGCGGTCTAATTCTTTATGGACATCTTTTCTACTCACTGTGGGCCGCCTTCCTGTTCCTGACGGTGCTGCGTTATTTGTTAACTGATCACCATCACGCGCGCCTAAGAGTGAAGTAGGTGATGAACCACCTGTAGAGGCCTTTTTAGATAACAGCGATTGAAAAAAGTTAGCCAATACTTCATGAGAGGGGCCACCGGGCGTTCCTGGTTGTCCAGCTCCGTTTGCTGCATCAACAGGTGACAAAGATGATGTGGTGGTAGTGGCAGCTGCAGAAGGTGAAACAGACGATCCGCTAGTTCCTGATGTTAAATTGACAACCCCGTTTGAGTTGCCTGAAGCTGCTGTTGATAGAATAGGACTTGTTGATAGCTAATCGATAAGTTAATTATCTTGCCTGATCATGCTCCTGTTTCTTTTTTAATTTATTTTATTTTTTACCTTGGCTGGCTTATCCATGCTAGCATCCTAAAATTAAAAAGCCCTATTTAGCCAGAGTACACGTGCGTCATATCAACAATTCATATATTTACCCTAAGTTTATTACCATCACCTGGACGTATGAGATCAATCTCTGAGACGCCGATGGGTCCTACAACGCCTGGTCGAGTAGTTGTTGCACCGGTTCCTTTTCGACTTGGCAACTCTGAGACATGCTTCAATGTCTCATAATGTCTATCCAAAAATGCTTGTTCATCCTCACAAGTGACAGGCGGAGGCATTGTGTGTAATGGCTGTTGTTGTTGTTTTTTTTTTTTTAGAAAATGTGAGGCTTTTT